AGATCACAAGTTATTAACGGATAAAAATTTACTTTATAATTGATAATTTTTAAGTGGTCGGATACTTTTGCTAGGTAATGATATCGTTATTAAAATTATCATTACTATAAAATCGCTCGTTATTATTACTTTTACTTTCTAAAGCATTGAAATTTTCGTCCTCCAGGGTAGTGTATTTATCAATATCAATTTTTAATGTGGAAAACATAAATTAGCGCAAATTGTAAGTGATAGTAAGTGATGATTTTTTTCTTTTTAAGAAAATCATTTTATTACCAACTATCACTAAACGATGAGATGGTGCCTTGTTAATGATAAGTTATCACGAATAATATTATATAATTACCGTCATTTCAAGTTTAATGCTTGATATTTAATTTATTTATTTCACAAAAAAAATCCCTTTACCGATTATTATTTTATATTTAAATTTAAAATAATTATATTTATTATAAGAAGAGGAGGTAAAATATACCAGGTTGTGTAGAAGCATTAGAGATTTTCATTAAAGTAATTTAAAATAATAAAATGTAATAATTTAAGTGAATATCTTATTTTATTCTGTATAAATATAACTCTATAAACACGATTAATTTAAAAATAATATTCAGCATTATCAATTATTATTTATTTATTATAACAAATAATAAATTCTTTAACGAAAATCGTTATTGGAAAAACAAGGGCGTTTTTTGGTGAATTGAATTTTTCAATTTGGATGATAAAATAAACATTTATTTTCGTTATTTTTTCACTTAAAAGAGTCCATAGCTATATTGCCAAATTGCTCTGGTACTTCTTTCCGTCGTTTTTTCGTGTTAGTATTTTTTGGTAATCTAACCATAATTGCATGATCAATTTTAAATTCACGTGGCATCGAGCTTTTAAATCCTTCGTCGGAGTCGTCGGAGTATAAATAGAAAATTTTAAATCAGTGATAATCAAAAATAATGATGTTAAGCAAAATGATAAAAATTATGTGAAACATGACCAGCCCATTTACCTGTTTTCACAGAGGTATCTCTTAACTCTCCTCTCCTTCTCGAATGAGAACTTGAGGTATTTCCTCATCGAGAAGTTGATCTTAAAGTCTTAGAAGAAAGAAATAAATAAAGAATATATATATATGTGGAAAAAGGATGCAAAAATCAAGGTAACACAATCAATACAAATAATGTTATGGTAAATATAGTATTATACTAAATTATATAATTCTGCCCCGTTAATTAATGTTCATATTTGTATGCTTAGAATCCATTAGTGTTTTGCTTAGCTAAGCGAAAAATTTTTATGAGAATTTTTTTTATAAATATAGGCGCATTCAAGCTAGCCAAATGTTGCCTAGTCTGATTTTTTTTGGTTTCGTAAAATACTATTTAAATATAACCTTAAACATAACCAAAACTATAAACATGGGAAATAATCTATCATTGGTTAGAAACAAAAAACGAACAGGAAACGCGAAAATTTTTGATTCAGAAACAAATGATTGTAGTAATAGTGAATTTTATATACCAGTTAAATTTGACGAAAGATTAAAAATAAACCATTTTGTTGCGAAAACTGTGTTTAAAGAAAAATTTTCAGCTCCTATTAATGATTTATTAATTAATGGTTGTCGAGTTCTAGATGTTGGGTGGGTTATCTCTCTTTTGCCTCGCAACTCTCTTGTCTCGTCTTTCTTGCATATCTTTTTTATCTTGTCTCTTATAGTTGCGGTACGGGAACCTGGATATTGGATATATCCTCAGATTATATTCAATCTTCATTTGTTGGTCTAGACATTTTTAATATGTTTCCATCCGAAATAAAACCAAATAATGTAGAATTTATTGTGGCGGATGCTCGAAATGAACTACCATTTGAATCAAATTATTTTGATTATATTCATTTAGGAGATATGGGATTATCTTTTACTGAATATGAATTGGATTGTGTTGTGGTAATTATTTATTTTTATCTCTTGTATATATGTTATTTGAATCTTTATTTATTAATTTTTTTTTATTATATATTTTTTTTATTTTATTTTTATCTATTAAAGATACCTGGTAATTACTGAATTATATTTATATTTACTGAAATTTGTTGAATTGAAATTTATATAAATCTTTCATAAATTTCTTTATGTATTTAGAATGTGTACGTATTTTAAAACCAGGAGGATGGATTGAATTTCAAGAAACTCGACGTTTTATAAATAACGCAGGTCCTTGTTCAGAAAAGCTTATGTCTCTAGGAGAGAAATTATTGGAAAAACTAGAAATGAAACCTTTAGCGTATTCACAGAATGATTTGGTAATTTATTTATTATTATTTTTAATTTATTTATTTATCTTTATTTAATTATTTATTATTTCAATTATTTTTTTAGAAAAAAATTCCAAACGTGATGAACATTAAAGAAATAGTCAAACCAATACCATTGGGTAGTTGGGGAGGAAAAATTGGTGAAGAATTTGCTGAATCTTTCTTAACTTCTTTACCTTATTTCGCTAAACAGAGTGCTAAAGCGAATATTTATCCACTAAAAAAAATTAATGAATTAATTAATAATATTCCACTGGAAATTTCAGCATATAAATCTTCTTTTGATTGCATTCGAATTTTTGGACAAAAGAAATATTCTGAAAATGATTAATTCATTTCATTAGTCAGTTTAAATGATTATATTATTTATTTTATGTACAGTAAAGTGTAATATTTTTATTTTTTAGAAATTTGATATTTCTATTTGTATTTTATTAATTCATTTTATGTACCGCATTTTCATAATAGTATAATAAATTGTGTAGAAGCAAAAGAGATTATTCATTAAAGTAATTCAAAATTACAGTGAAATGTAATAATTTACGAGAATATATATATATAATATTTGGTTTCCGTCATAAAATATAACGATTAAAGAATAAGAAAAAAGTAACCCATGAAAATACAAAAAAAAAAAAATAGAAATGGATAATTCAGATGCTTAGATGAAATTAGAACAAGAATACTTCAGCTCACTGAATTTTGGTTTTTTTTTTATCAATCAGAACGTTGATCGACTAAAACCTTTACACGTTGGAGTTCGCTTTATTATTTTCTAAAAATTACAATTGATTCAAGATAATATAATATATAAATGAAGTAGTTAAACCTAATAACTTATTTATTTTTATTTTTATTTTAAATTTTAATTTTTTTATTTTTTTAAATTTCCTAAAGTATTTTTTCAAATTTTTCCTAAAGTATTTTTTTATTATTTACCTAAATTTTTTGTATTTTTTTTTTAATAACTTAAAATAAGTGGGGTGAATTTCAATAAACGTAATTGAGAATGATGAAATAATTTCTTAAATCCACCACAACTTTGATATACATATGATATATATATGATATATATATATGCATATATTTATCACATAAAATATTTTCTATATAACCCCAGAAACATTGAAATGTTCAAATAGGGTGTATTTATAAACAAATCTACTATATAACTAAAATTAGAGAAATAAATAGAAATAGAAATGAGAATTGAGCGAATGACAATAATAAATAAAAAAAAAAGCAACAATAATAAATTAACATAGTAATAAAATAATAATTATTGTTACTTACCGAACAATTATATTGTTCTAACAATAAATAATCCCTTCTCTATTCATGATAACCATATCTTTAAATATAAATAATACCAGATAACAAGAATGTAACAAGGGAATAATAAGGGAATAAGGGAATAATAGTAGGGGACGTTAGTTGAGAAATTCTCCTGGGCAATTTTTAAAATATATTAAAGAGCGAGTGGAAAAAGGCTTTTAATAATTCGAAAACGAACGTGTGGTTTTAAATGTATATATAGAAATAACAAGAATACACCTATAGAAATGGTGTAGACCAGGTGATTTGGTAAAAGGTTTTTAATAACTACACTAATAGTAGTGTAGTCCCCAGCACACCAAATCTATCTGGAATAATAAAAAAAAAAAAAACCACAACATTTTGGTAAAAGGTTTTTAATAAAACATTTTGGTAAAAGGTTTTTAATAAAAAAAACCTCGACATTTTGGTAAAAGGTTTTTAATAATTCCGAAAATCGATCCTAGTAGTTCAAACTCCAAAATACCGAAACAATTATAATTTTATATTTTTAATGCACCAATTTGAATTAATAAATTATGAGTTTAAAAAATTGTGGAGGACGAAGCGACGACGAAAAAATGAGAAGAAGAAAAAGAGGTTCAAAGATTGGGCCCAGTTTTCATCTTTTTAAATTAAAATTTAAATAATATTAACTTAATATATATATATATATATATAAATAAAATAACACACTTAATAGAAATATGTATCAAAAACATACTTGGTTTATGGTCTGGAACCCCAGGCTGTTTTCTTTGAACGCCAAAACCTTAATCCCTCTCCTATAAATATGTACGTGTATGTGCGATTAAAAATTTATAGTAGTCAATATAAAGGACGAAAAATAAAAATAAAATATTTACAAATTTCCGTCGACCCCATAATAAAAGAAGTTGAACCAATATACTAATATTTTAACTTCAAAAATATAGTATTAATATATTAATATAATTTCGAGACAAGGTTTCCGTTTTTTTTTTAAAAAAAAAAAAAAAGAGAGAGATAAAATCTATCTTCATTATATATTGATTTTTTTTGTATTTATTTTTTAATTGGTTTGCTTTTGTTTCTATTTAGAGATTTCATGCGCCATTTTTTTAAAAGCCTGCTAGATTATTTTGTTGACAAATCAGGTTTAGATTTTTTGATATATTTATAATGTAAATATTATATATATTGTGTGAATGTTGTACAATGCGTATAATGTGTTTAAAGTCTTTCTGCGCCATATTTGATTTTGATCATATCACCTTCCATATTCTTTTCATAGATTTTCTATTTTACAAATTATGCTAACTTATTTTTAACTTATTTTTCTTTTTTGTTAACCTTTTCAGTATTTCATAAATGTAGAATAAAATATATACTAATGTAGAATAAAATATATACTTTAGTTAAACCGAAAAAAATCATGCTACAAATCAAATGCTTTATTTTTAGTTATTTTGCACAAATGATCTTTGCTTATTTATTATTTATTTTAGTTTATTTATCTAGTTTAGTTCAATTTTTATTTTGAGACAAGGTTACACTGTCACAATACAACGGCACAAATCGCCATTCAATATCACCAATCGACACCCACAAACCAATCCGAAAACGGGAATTTACAATTTACGATGCAATAATGCAATGAATTTATTAGTTTTATTATTTATGTTATTATTATGTCATTATTGTTGTTGCTATTTATGATGACCGTATAAAAAGTGGCGCATCCATCGAATAATTTCTTTTCAGATATTCTCTCCTCAATTTTTTCTCAGATTCTTTCTTCAGTCTTTTCCCATAATTATTAATATTCAATACTCAATATATCAATAAAATGATCCCAAATATTTTCTCTTTTTCTCCTACAAATCTTGACCTCAAAAATATTAATGCAACACTTCTTGAACGTTTTATTAATTATCCATCATCACCATCATCGACGACTGTAATAAAGAATGATACAACTATTTTAAGGTTAATAGGAGAATTACAAGTTCAAGGCAGGACCTTTAGAACTTTAAGTAAAACTAGTGCATCACAATGTAAAGGATTAACTCAATTAACCAATGAAATTATTACCACTTTTTCATCATCATCATCATCATCATCATCTACTACTTCTTTAAAAGAAATACTTAAAGAATTTTATTTAATTAGAAAAGGTTATCATGATATATCTCAAAATTTAAATAGAATATCTCAAGATTTTCAAATACATAAATCAACTTTAGAAAAAGAATTTTATATTCTTAATCAAGAAGTTGGAAATTTAAGTAATACAGCCAGTAAACAAAAATTCAATACTATCAAGAAAGGATTAATGGTAGGATTTGGAATTGGATCACTTTCTAATGCTACACTTTATTTTATATCACCTTCATTAGATGGAGGATTAACATTATTCGCTACAATAATTACTGGAGGTATAATGGGTTGGTATTGTGGAAAGAAAATGAATGAAAGATTAAAAAACGAAATCAAAATAAAATCAAGTGAAATTAAAAATTTAAAAAATAGTACAAATTATATCGATTTAGTAGTTAATGATATAAATAAATTTGATGAAAAAATTATTAAACATTCGAAAACTTTTTGGACGAGACAAGTTGATTTGGCCAATTTTTCTTTAGAATTAATAAATAATAAAAATAATGATATTAAAAGAACAGGAGAAATTAATAATAATCTTACAGTAGAATCTTTATTGGTTTCTTGGAATCAGGCTAAATCCACTATTTCTAATTATCAAAAAATTGTGAATTCCGTTTTCTGTGATTAATAATTATTATTATTTTCATTATTTTTATTATTTTTTTTTTTTATTTTTCTCATTCAATAAGTAGCATAGAATTAACATAGCATATATAGATAGAATAGAATGGATAGCATTATATTATTTAAAATTTTGAACTTTTTTTGGATAAATCTTATCTTAATAGAGATAAATAAGGAAATAAAGACATTCCCAATTCATTAAATTACATTTTAATCAATTCATTTTTACGATGGTTATAAGATTCCGCCGCAGCGTAATAATTATTACACATATATTGATAAAGTGTTTTGCTAGTTATCAATAAAATCTATAGACGCAATTTTATAAATATACACAACAACAATTTTTTAAATAATAAATTAAAAAAAATATATAAAAATATCAATAAAATCTTAATAATTTAATTCCTTCTTATATTTCACCCTGAAGGACTTTTAAATATTTCCATCCTAAATATATGCATTTCTTGTTGTTGTAACAAATAATAATCATGCGATTTCAATTATGACAATTCGCAAGAAAATTCTATTTCCCCTCAATGAAAGAAAATGGAATCATCCATTTATTATTGTTATTTTAAATTGTCACCATCACCTAAAAAAAAGTTTCCATTTAAAATTACTAATATAAATATTTAAAATTACTGGTGTTATGTAATCATATGCCTTCCTCCCTTTTTAGAAAAATATTTAATTGAACGTCGCCTCATCTTTTTTTTTTTATAATAAAAAAAAAATCTCTTACCACTCGGACTAAAAATTAAGAATTTTCAACAACGATAATGATACATTTTGAGAATATTTTCAATCTCCTTCCCCTGTATTTAAATTTTAACAGTTAAATGAGGATTTTTTAAATGAGGTGAAATAAATTATTATTATTATTATTATATTTATTATTTTTTTTTTTTGCAACTACATTTCATTATGTTATATTATTATTTATATTGATATTTTTTTTTAAATTTTTATAGATTTACATGAAAGTTTTCAAATACAGAACGGTCAAGTTTTGTTTAAAATAGGATAGTCGACTTAAGAATTGGAAGGAAACAAAAAGTTCTTATTACTAATAGTTAAGTTAGATCAGAAATAGAGTTGAAGGTTCATGAATAGGATAGTCGATATTCTTTTTTCATTCCAAAAAATTTAGTTACCGTTCTCACTAAAATTAAGATCAAATAGTTCAATAGAGAGATTTATAGTTCACCAGGATTTCCATCCTGGAATTTGTTCGGAATTTAAGTTTACAAAATTTAAATAAAATTATGTTCACTAAGTAACATAATTCACCAAGATTTTCATATTGGAAATACGTTTTTTAAATTTTAATAAGTAAAGTTAATTCCGGTATGTGGAGATGATCATACAAAAGCAACAGACTACGATGAATCTATTCGCTAGTTTGATGTTATTAATGGATATGCAACAAAAACTTACGAAGGCAGATGTAATTATTTTATTTTTTAAGATTTTTTTTTTTTTATTTAATTATTTTATTTTTTTTTTTTTTAAAAAAAAAATAAAAATTACTAATTCTAATATGAATTTTTATTTCTATTATTAGTTAAAAATTTTCGCACAGAAAATATTTTCTGGTGTATTACCTTATATAGCTCCTGAGATATTAAGTGGTATTGGATGTTTCAGATTCAATGACTTAGGATTTATGAAATGATGGTGATGATATACAAAAGCAGCAGATATTTATGATAATTATACAAAAAGCAGACATATATTCTTTTGAAATTGGTAAAAAAAATGATGTTATCTGTTAGGTTACTTTTGTTACGAAGAACTCGCTAAATTTACCAAACGGGTTATTTATAAATAGGATGATTTATTCACGAAGATTCTGATGTAACTATATCATAATAATATAGTTCATCAGGATTTTCATCTCGGTTCCTTCTAGTTCAAATATATGTTGAACGAAAATAATTAAATATTATATATCCTATTTTTTTAGGATAGGTGGAATAGTAGCTTATGAAATAATCACAGGACTTCCACCATATCCCGATTTACATGAACCAAGCGCAATAGATTATAACTTCAATTAAAAATTATTGAATAAAATTAAGTATTAAATTTAAATTAGAACTTGGTAAATTAAAAAAAAGTCAAAATAAAGTAATACTTAATTTGGTTATATGTATTATATGTGTTGTATGTATTAAATAATATTTATAAATGTAAATACTTAAATAATTATGAATCATTATTATTTTATGCTTTGTAAAAAATGGCTTGCATATATCAAGAAAAAATTAACCTATTGTGGCGAAGTAATTTTGTAAGCATGCAGATCATCACGGGGATGATAAATAGTGACACTAAGATAATTGTACGAGGATAATAACTTGTTTTGTCATCCGAAAAACATACGAGGATGAAGGATGAAGTACAAAGGATGACAGGTAAAAATTTGAATGAAGGTAAAAAAGTATAAAAGAAGTAATCATTGGAGACAGAAAGCAGTAGTCTTAATAATTTCTTAGACTTCAGTTAATTAATAATTACAGATAGATTCAAATATTAATATTATTAGATAGAAAAGTAAACTTTCTTTAGGGATAGTAAAATAGACACATAACCTGTAATATTTCTATTGTTAAATGATACTTTACTTTTAAATTTGTACCTTTTATATTTTAATAAACTTATCTTTTGTGTTGTAATATTGTGAAATATTGTTAAATATTATTTGATACTGTGTTAACACTTTTATTTCACCTTACTTACAAAGCTTTCAGATTAAAAATAAAGAATTAAAAAGAATTATTTATATTATATTTATAATCTGTTTTGAGAAAGGCAAGTTTAGATCAATGGATTACTGGATCTACTGACAGATAGAATGTATTAAAAAATTGGTTTGTGTAAAACAAACTCTGAGACTGATAGGTGAAAGTGTTTGAAATACTCTACACATTTGTAACACTATAAATTGATAAACTTTTGATCCATATATGTGATCAAAAAATAGGGATTGCTATGTAATACTTATAGAGATACAGACTTATAGTGAGGTTATGACATCCTTCCAAGTCACAGCATAGATGTAGATGTGATATAAATTTTTTTTTTATTTTTTAAAAAATTGTCATAAGTCAAGACTATAGTAGTAAGACATTGTTATGGAAAGAAAATTAACATATCAGTTAATGGCAAAAATATTACTAATATATAGTAAAAAGAAACTTAAATTAATAATTAAAGTAAAGTAATAGAAAATAAAAATATAATTTGAGAGAGTTCTTGCTTCATATTTCTATCTTCTAAATTTGCCTTTTGTATTTATAATATTATTATTATCTATTAATAAAATTATTATTTGATATTTTATGTAAAAAATATGTAGAATACGCATTCATGAAATTAAGTGTTTTTTATAGAAGTAACAGTTATACACAATTGTTCATATTATAAATAAAGTATTTTTTTTGCTAATTGTGTCCTGTACTATTTGCATATGTTATCACCAGTAGTTTCTGATTCCCTTGAGTACAAACCAGTAATGTGACTTAACAGTTCTTTTAAAGAGTTTATAATCTTTTTCCAAAGGAAAGACTGTTATTAATTTGTTTTAGAAGGTTCTGGTTTATATAGTCTAGTGGCTAATGTACCAGAATCAAGTCATAAGGTTAACAGATCGATCCTAACTAGTTACGATTAGTATGGATGATGATCTTTTCATAATCCAAGACTTGGTGGGTATCAACTAGTATCCTTGCCTAAAAGAGAATCATCTATATCCTTTTGGATGTTACATATAACATTTACTAACTGGTCATGTGAATTGGGGCATATAAATTTATACGAGATGACTAGTGCTTAGATTAGTGGTTCAGAGGTCAAGTTTGATTCTCGAAATGTTTGTTGTGCTGGCGATGAAGGAAAGGTGAATAAGGGGTATAAATAACTTCACACCTTGTACTTAGTCATAATAGTGATTATGATGGATAGCTTAGTCACTACTAGTACTGGTCAAAATAGGACATATCAGATACCTATTGTATGCTTATCAGGAGTCTGATAGGTACACGATAGGTGTCCAATATTAACAATTATGTAATATATCAGACATCCGACTGGTGAGGTCGAAATGCAGAAATTCGAGCACTTATTGGGTCCATATTGGTTTCATATCGGACATTAATATTTTGACATTTTATTCAAATTCATTATTCATATATCGGACACCTGATTTTATTTATTTTTTTATCGGGTACATATCTTTTATAAATCAGTCACAGTATATCCCTATATATTGGGCACAGTATATCTCTGTGTATCAGGTAGTTTTTTTCTCTTTATCAAATATCTATCAGTACCTTTTATTTATATATATATATATTTTTTTACTTTTTTTTATTTGCAAATAATCATAATTTTAGTTTATTATAAAAAAATAATAAAATAAAATACATTTATTATGAAAAGTATAAAATGAAATATATTATATATATTATATAAAATAATCTATCTAATTATTTTTTTGATTTTTTTTTAATTTTTTCTTTTTTTCTTTTTCCTTTCCTTTTTGTTTTCTTTTTTTGCTATTAGTTTCTACTTCATGATTATTATTATTATCTTTCCGTTTTCTTTTTTTATTACTTGTTCCTATATCAGAAAATTTTTAAAGGCGAAATATTTTGAAAATTTTTGCCTCGTTAAATTTTCGGAGTTATACGACACCTTCGTAAATTTTTAAAAAAATTTTCAAAAATTTTCGAATCGTAAATCTCTGGAATTTTTTGTTTCATTTATTTTCGAAAATTTTTGCATATATTTTCATAAATCTCTGTTTATTTTTGAAAATTTTTGCATATATTTTCGTAAATCTCTGTTTATTTTTGTAGATATTCGCGAAATCATTATAATGGTATATTCAAGATTTACATACAAAACATTTTGA